GTGGAGTTATGTAGCGTAGGAAAGGTGAAGGTGGGGAATACGCAGGTAGTGAGTTTCTTGTGTGGTGAGTTGAGGAAAATATGGTGGAAAGGAGCTTAAGGTGTATGTGGCGAAGATGAACAGGAGAGCAAAAATAAGGTTTGGGTTTTAGTAGTTTTGAGTTCTAATGGAGGAGTATGATGACATTTTGTTCAAGGTTTTGATGAGATGTGTTTTTGGTTGATGGCATGTCAAGAGGTTATGTTCGTCGACCGTGTGGTTTGTTGATGGTGGTCGATGGTTCTTTTGCGGTGTTGGAGTTGATGTGTTCCGTGTGTGATCAGTGAATTGTATGAATGGTGAAGGTGTGGAATAAATTGATATATGGAATTTTGTGAATATGATGTAAGGTTGTTTGAGATGTGAGGGTGCAGGTTGTATTCGAAAATGGTTGAAGGATGTTTTAGGTTAACAATAGATCAAAGCTGGGTCCGTGTGCTCTTTTATATGTGTGAGGTTATCAAGAATGATACTTTAAAGTGTGTATCATGTGGTTTATGATGGTTTTTTAAAAGTTGATCTCTCCCTTTCCAAAATATGCAGGCAGGTGTGGGTGATCTTGGAGAGGTTATGTGAAGGTATTATCAAGTGATGAAGAGATGTTGATGTCCATGTAGCAGGTTTGAAGAGCTGCAGTAGATGGTGCAGAGGTCTTGGTGTATGAAGTTTTTTATGGCATGTGCAGTCCCTTATTTTTATGGCTCGTAAAAGAGAGTTACATGAAGGTAGATGGCTATAGAAAAATGGAAAAGAAGTGAAAGGTCCTCCCTTTTTTATGAAGTGCATACGGTATGTGTGTTTTTATTTTTTTCAAATATGCAGACCCTTATTCGTGCTATTTTTTGAATTAAAAATGAGAGAGAGAAACTTATGGTCAATTTGTGTAGTGTGTGTAGCCTGATGCAATGTCGCACACTTACTTTTTCACAAAAAATAAGAGAAAACAAAGCAACTTTAAGAGACTTAATTAACAAGTTTTACTATAGAAAGAATAAAAACAAAATTTAAATATCAAAATAAAAAAGATAAACAAAATATAAAATAAACTATTTAAAATAAAAACTAAATTCAAAAAATGATTAAATAAAAAGATTATTAATTAAAAATAAAAAAAAATCGATTTAAAACAAAAAAATAAACTAGTATCGAAGTGCTTGGAAAAATAAAAGGAATGCACCAAAATGATCAGTGCAAAATAAACGACTCGTAAAAATACAGCGTTTGGTCAAATTTTGAAATAAAATTTCCTCGGTTAAAAAGGCTCATACTGATCAAAATACGACCGAAAAGCAGTTGAAAAATTAAGACGAGCACACTTGGTTAAACTACGCGGAACATATATTAATATAACTGACGTTTGCAAGCTCGATTTTAAAACTTTTCGTCCACTGATTTTACGCACAATTGACTTTTAGTTTGACCGATTCGACTGTAAATCCAACAAGTTATTCCGGCTGATAATTTGTGCATTATGCGTTGGAAAATACATGATAGGCTATGTAGATGATGAAAAAAGAGGTGAAATATTATGGATAAAATTAGGGTATGACACCAAGTAACTCTTCTACGAGGTTTGAGCCAACATGTAACCCTAGATATTTGAATGGAAGTGTCTCAATTCTACAATAAAGAAAGTCACCCGCGGAAACCATAAAATTATATTCTACATTAACCATTATTAGACTACTCTTTGAGAAATTCACCCAGAGGCCTGAAGCTAGTTCAAAGCCCCTAAGAATTTACTTTATAAACCAAAGATTCTCAATAGATGGGTCTCATAAGATAAAAGTATCATCAGCATATTGAAGATGAGAGACACCAAGGAATTATGTATAATAATTATGTTAGTTCGTCGTAATTATGTGAAATTAATCTAAAAGTAAATAAACACGGTCATAAACACCGAGAATTAGAGAATTCAAATAAGGTCTGATCGTCTTTTAAGGCAATTTCAACACATTGTTAACCTTTTTACTATTTACTCAAAATCCTTGCAACCCCCTAATTTTACCTTTAAAAACATGTTACAATTGTTTTGTTCAAATACAAAAATTCCTGTGGAGATGAATCATTTTTATTACTTGCAACATGTTTAATACACTTGCTAGAAATATACTAACCACACCATGTAGAAGGTTCCCACCCATGGGGCGAAGCTGGAGAATTTTCTATAATGCACATATGATTGATGAGGTCATGGTGACTTTTGCAGATGTCGGCCTGTTTCCGTTGGTGGACTGTTCCCTCACCATGTTCAATGTTCCCTTGTTATTCATTTTTGTTGAGCGATGGCATAAAGAGACATCCTCCTTTCATCTTCCATATCTACCAATTGTAGATAACTTCTTCATTGCTCGTGTCATGAACCATGAGATTCCATGATACGTATCCCTGGAGCATCCTGACTGGCCATGAGGTTGCGCTGCTTTGATAATATTGTATATTGCCATTGGAGAGGCGAGTTGTTAGGGGATATTTTTCAACTAGAGAGCATTGAACATTTTGGGACTTTTCCTTTTTAGGGCAACCTTTGTGAGAGACACACCACATACTCACTCAAAACCTTAAGGTGATAGGTGTATGAGTTCTCTCACTTATAAATGCTCAAGTCACCACATTTCTATCTAATGTGGGACTATTGTCCACACTACTCACACTTGTTAATACTTAACACTCTCCCTCAAGTGTGAGTTTATCCACAATGCTCTCCCTTAAGCGGAAACTTTAACTGTGCAACTGCACCCTTGTACCGCCGTTAACACTCTTCAACGAGACACTCGACCCGCAACCTGTGGGGATACTTTCGATACAAGTAAGTTGTTCCTTTTACTCGAACCAAAGGCTCATGATACCACTGATAGGAGAGATTATTTAACTAGAGAGCATTGAACATTGTGGGATTTTTCCTTTCTATAACAACCTTTACGAGAGACACACCACATACTCACCCAAAACCTTAAGGTGATAGGTGTATGAATTCTCTCACTTATAAATGCTCAAGTCACCATATTTGTATCCAATGTGTGACTATTATCCACACTACTCACACTTGTTAATACTTAACACGAGTGTATTTGAGACGAGATAAATTGTTGGTTATATGAGTTTATTTAAGATATTAATATTTACTCTATTTCATTTACTTAGTTATTATTTATGAAACATAATTCATTTATGTAATTTGTGTTTGTGCGTGTTATATATATATGAGCATTTCCTATCCACTTGTGTCAAGAGTGATCGTGGCCTTTACACTAATGTCTCCCCATATGCAACTAGATGGAGAGTCATGCATTCTCATTTAGGCGGTCTTCAGAAGTATAATTGAAGGATCAATGCTTTGATCATCGACGATGTCATATGGACACTTTACTTATACTATAGGATGTATCGAGAGTTTGATGATGATGTCTTTTTTTTTCCGATTTATTTGCGATGTTAGAGTTCTGTAGCTAGATATTAAGTGAGATATGTCTCAAATAGTTTAGGTATGTTTAAGGTATCCTTAAACTAGTCCTAATAATTCCACATGGGGACATTAATAGATGGTTTAGGTCTAACATTGTCAACAATGTCGTTGGTATCAGATAGAATGTAATGAGGATGTCTTTTCCTGGCCTGTCTAGGAAATTATTTAGAGTGGTATTTTTAAAGTATCTCACCCTCGCATCATCCCGCATGTTCAGCCATCATAGATGTGGACCTTCCCATGCAAGAGGACCTTTATATAACATATCACTGTCTACCCCTGGTATGAATGGCCAAGAATACTTGTAGTTGGTGTCACTTCTTTCAAATAACCTCACGGGCATGGTAAACTCATATGATGAGATCTATGTAGGGCTAACTGAGATATCACACACCTATTTTATTTGTTGTTTATTATTTATATTTACTAACATTATTTTGGATTTTTACTCTTTTATTTGTATATTATTAATATTTTATCGTAAGATTTTATTAGATGAAAATTAGCATTAAATTACTGCGAGACAAACGTAACTTAACATAACTTAACAACCAAATAGCATGAACATAACTTAAACATTACTATATGATTCCATATGTTTTACCATCTTGATATTATCGTCGACAAATCTCAAAACTATCACATAACTTTCAGGTTTTTATCAGTCTTCCACTCAAAGTTGTTGAACTTCACTTTTCCTTCATTATCAATCGATGAATGATATTTAATCTTAATCACCTTTTGTTGTCTGGATAGTGCAAGAGATTATCCAATTTCTTTTTCAAAACATGAATAGGATTGTCCTATGCGAGCCTAAAATTAATAGGAGGTTTCACACGGTTAAAGTAAACAAATGCGAGATACCAAAATTGAGACATTATGAGATGTTTTTATTAACAACATATGAGATATGTTTATCACAATCTTACAAAATTGTCGGTAAAATCTCAAGCGTTCAAATTTAACCTTACCAGACTTTTAAGGGGTGAAAAAATATTCGGTATATCAAATATTTTGAAAAAACATGTATAAATCTTTTGATTCACACTAAATTTTTAAAAATGTCGATAAAAATAGATATCAAATTTTTGTATGAACTACCAAATTTTTTGCATCTAATTTTTTTAAAAATCTAATAATGAAAAAAAATGAGAAGATATATATTTGGTATTATAAAATTATGTTGGGTGCTAGATATATGTTTTGGGGTGCTGGTAAAATTTTCTAAATTTTCCCTCTTATTTATGCCACCCACACTTTGTCTAATTGGGCCCATAAATAGTGGCCCAAACCACAATAAAATTAAAAATCATGACTCATGTGTGATTTACCTTTGACTTTACAACAATACGACGTCGTATAACTATTTCACAAGTTAAGAACACCAAAGCCAACATCGAAGTCCAAACAAACACAACATAAGAAACTCAACAACGTTCGTGTAACTCTGTTGTGTTTTTTCTTTTAGAGAATCCTTACTCTCATCAGAAACATGGGAAGCACCGATTTGAAGTACGAGGTTTCACAAAACGCTTACATCAAACTCGTTCTCCACTCCCTCAAACACCCTACATCCGCCGTCAACGGCGTCTTGATCGGCCGCATCTCCTCTTCCAACGACACCGTCGAGATCACCGATGCCGTCCCTCTCTTCCATTCTCAAATCCCTCTTCTTCCTCAATTGGAGATCTCTCTAATTCTGGTACCTCTCTTTCTCTCTCCTAGGGTTTATAATTTTTTCCTCATTCAATTCAATTCTAACCCCAAATTGTTATCTGTCAAATAATTCATAAAAACATAAACTTTCTTAATTAACATACAAATTAATCAACTGGGTCGATCTTAATTTCTTCTGGGTTTATCAGTTTATTCAGTTTTTTTTATTTTATTTTAGATTTTAGATTCTTCACAATTATCTGATTACTATTTTTTTTATGAGGTAGATAGATGAATATTTTTCTGCTAAAGGGTTGAACATAGTTGGTTATTTTCACGCCAATGAGAGGGCTGATGAATTTGAACTCGGTGGAGTGGCGAAGAATATTGGTGATCACATCTCTCGTTACTTTTCACAAGCTGCTATTCTATTGGTATGTGGTGTGATTTTCGTTGATCTTGATTTGAATTATGTAGTTTTTGTTTTTCATTTTTCGTTGGTTTTTTATTCTTTGCAGTTAGATAACAAGAAGCTTGAAGGTTTGAAAAAGAGCAAGAGTGGTGGTGCTGTAATGCAGGTTAGTAATGTTATTAGCATTGTGAATCTCATATTCACAGGCCTATAATGATTTTTTCATAGCAAAGCAGATTTATGAGTATTATTTGGGTTTCCCTAGATAATGTTTAGTTATCGACTTATCGTATATGACGGTTAATATCAATAAACAACTTATGTTTAGTTATCGACTTATCGTATATGACGGTTAATATCAATAAACAACTTATGTTTAGTTTTACATTTTGTGAAACTATCTGCGTTCTCTACATTTGTTTTCATGGTAAATATAAAATTTAGGGTGGATCAGAGTCAAATTTAGGGGTGAATTTTATCTGGGATTGTCGAATATCGAGAAATCCTCGAGAACTTGTCCTGTGCAGACCTAAGAACTCTTTCTTTCAATTAGAATATGTTTATCTTTCAGTCCCCTATTGCATTTGACAATGTGTGGGCTATTTTTCGTAAGGTCTTGCAATCTCAATCCACTATAAGGTTTCATCTGCGCCATTGTTTCTTGTTATGAAATTCGATGTGCATCTTAAGAGCATTTTTCCTTTCCTTTTTTTGTTGATAACAGAAAATCTCGGTATCTATATGTTATATAAGTTTAGCTTTTTTGTAGCGCCATTTTTTGTTGGTTGCATTAACGTAGCTTCCCTTTTTCTTATGGTTTAGCTTTATGTTAGGGATGCATCTAAGAACTGGAAGTTGGTTCAATCAGATGCGAAAAACCGATTCTCTCTCAAAGAGCCATCGGCAAATCTGATCTTATTGGATTATATTTCATCTGAGAAATGGCGCGACGTTGTAGATTTTGATGATCACCTTGATGACATAAGCAAGTAGGTTCCTTTGCGCTACTTCCCTTCTTTCTTCTCCTATATTTTTGCATCTGCGACTATAATTGACTCGACTTTGTTTTCAGGGATTGGCTAAACCCAGGGCTCTTCAACTGATCTCGCCCTCGTTGTCTCCATTTGTAACCAATTTACATTGCAAGTGGATGATGTGTAGGCATATTATGGCGCATATGCCGGATATTCATGACGAACAATTAGGGAATAGAGATTTTGACATTATTGAATTTTTCTCACCTTTCTGTAGGTATATTGTATTTGTGTTTTCTTGCATTGATTGAGACATTGTTATTTTGAAAAAACAATTTAGTCACGTTACCTTTCTGTAGCTTCATCCAATGGCTGCAAAAAAATACTTTTACTCTTAAAGAGAGATTAAGTTATCTCTAGGAGTATTTCAAAGTAGAGTTATTCCTATTAATAAATTATTATAGAAGTTATATTTCAATAATTAATAGATTGTTACTGTCCAATTACATTAATGATCAATCAAATAATGAACTTGTTAACATTCTGGGGTTAGTATTTCGTTTTGATGGGATTTAAAAAATGGTGAGAATTAGTGTTTATTGGTTATTATGCGACAAATTATTTATAACAGGATGTTAGGGGGTTTTATACTTGGCATCCTTTGGCATTTTTATATATTTTATAAAAATTGGCAAAAATACTCTTATTAAAATTTAATTAATTAAAAAAGAAGAAAATTCTGTTAGTATTGTAAATTTTTTGATAGTGTACTATAAAAGTTTTGAATGTATTTTTATCCTTTTTTTGATTTTTTTTAAGATGTTGGAAATTTCGATTAATTTAGTATCTTTAGTAATTTTTTGGTTTTTAAAAAAAATTGTGAGTTCATATTTAGTAAATAAAAAAAATTAGTATTATTGGATTCTTCAAATATTTAATAGAAATCAGTGCGTTTTTATTAGAATTTTTTTAAGTCAGGAATGAGATTTTTGAATTTGTTTGCATTCAACTTGTGGATGTTAGTAACAAATTACAAATCTTTGGGTACTCTTTTGGGACTCGAATAGGCAAAGTAAAATACTATTCTTATAGAAATTTTTAAAAATTTCTATTCAACTCTAGATGTTTCTAATAAATTATATAAATTTATAAATTTTTATATATGTTTTATGATTTCAGAGATATATCTTTGGACGCTCCCCAATACATATTTAACAAAGTCATTCTGAGCTACAGAAGAGTAATTACAAAATAAAATTGATATTCATAACGTAAAATGATCATTACAATGATGATTTTAACAGAAAACAATGATGATTTTAACAGAAAAATCTATTATTACATTTCAATATCGCAGTAGACGCTTGCACAACTTTAGAATATCTTCAACCGATCTTTGTAGCCTCACTTCCAACTCGAGCAAAACTTTCTCTTCAAAATCGAAAAACGTATCCCACATAGCCCTAACATCCGCTTGCGTCTTGAGCTCAAATTTGGTAAACTGAATCTTTCTTCCGTTATCAATCGAAGGTGAATGATACTCGAGCTTCACAATATTTCGATTGTCTCTGTAAGGTAGGAGATGATGAATTTCGTTTTTGATATCTTTGAGTGAGGTGAAGTCGGTGAGCTTGCACGTTCGACCGAGTGTAGAGCTGGAGAAGGACACATTTGCGACATACCGATAGATGTTTATTTGTGACATTTGATACATTTTGACTTTGTGTGAAATATTGCATTATAGTACCTAAAGTGATGCATAAGAAGAAGGAAATATCTTTGCAATCGAATTCATCAATGTGGTCGGTAACAATAGGTTTAAGGATCTCACCCTGGACCTTCAAAAGTGACTGACACATCTCTAATGCCCAAGTAAAATTGTCCTTTTTTCACACTTAAGAAATACAAAACCAACAAAATATGTCTTCTTAATTGAGGTAACACCAACCATCTCAAATAATTGAAGTCTATACTTGTTGCTGTTGTAGGTTGAATCAAGTATCAGTATCGTAGAAAACATGTTGAACAACTTTATGGAATCAGAATGAGTCCAAAAAACATCTCTAATCGTAACTCCATCATCACACTTCGGTACTTGGACACGTAATTGTCATCATCCAATAGTTTCAAAAATTGTTGCATCTTAGTTCTATCCCCCCTAATCACATTGTTAGTGAGGTATCAAATATTATACACTTTCTTGATGTTTGATATATTGTCGTGTTGTTTTCGTTTCAATGTTGCAAGTATATTTTTTGATTGAACAAGATTCAAGGTCATGTCCTTAATACATTCCTTCTCTTCCGGCTTGAGTCGACAAACACTAGGATGACCCGCTAATTTTAAACACAAATTATGGTTATGCAAACCACATATTATATTAAATCTCAAATTTTTGTTTGCCAACATATAACCACGAACCTTAAATAAACACTCACATTTTCTATTACTCGTGCCGTCTCTTTTAAAATTTCGGAGAGGAGCTCGGTATTTCCCGCTTCTTTTGCGCATCATTGTCACAAAGACGCATCTTCTATCCGAACCATTATCGGACCTTCCGATAACCACACCAAATCCAAGTTTAGAGGTCTCCATACAAATCCATTCAAGCATTTTATCACGAGATTCAAACTCATGCTTGTTTTTGAAATTGTTGCCAACATCTACCGCGTTCACAACAACCTCTTGAACGTTCGGAGAAAAAATCACACCATATCTAATGAAAATAATCAAAACAATAACAAAATATAAGGTCAACTACTGCTGCAGATTCAATGCAAAAACGAACACAAATAACTTTCGGAAGTGCATCTCCGAACAAGTTCATACATGTTCCAGAGATACATTTTCAGACACAACATGAATTTTTTCAGAAAAAATTGATCATGAATGTGAGCAATGCAGAGGAAAAAGAACAATCTTTATCTGAAATTCTATCTTCTTTTACTCTCTGTGACATGTTGAACCAAAAAGATGTAAATTTGGAGTAAAAAAATGGATTGAGAATGAAGGGTTTTTAGCATGAAGAGTTTGGTTGAAAACCAAGTATGTCAAGAATGGAGAAGTGATCATGCATGATGCAGTTGGGTCAATGAATACATCTCAGGAATCAGGGGGCATTTGAGGAAATTCATGTGGTGCATTAGAAGAGTCTATGGTGCATTAAGAAATTCTCTAATTTTGGGCTCAAAGATTGGGTGTAATTCAATTTTTACACGAGGAAACATTTGTAAGTCGCATGTTATTTTAAGATAAGTGATGGTATCACTATCTTCTTGACACACAAAAATAGGTGGAGGTCAGATGAACTAGAACGTCTACGGATTGGCGAGTTTCTGCAACCTAATAATAAAGAATAGGATGTTGAGTTTGTTCGTGGTTTCTTTCAACATGACGATACATTTCGATAGACTCACTGCAATATATACTATGATTTGGTGTCTCAAACCAATAGATATGTTTACTATAAATCTATTTATAAATTTGATGTAAATAATTTGATAAATACCTTCAACTTACATATATAGATGGATGGAGCCAGAAAGCCCCTCGTATTGTGAAAATTATGTTTGGAAAATGTCTTCTTAAAAGATGTAGAAATATCAAGAAATAATATTTTTTTGAACACAAAGTAAAAATTTGACTTCTAATAATAATATGAAACACAACTCTCATTAAAGTTAAAAGCATGAACAATAGATTGTATGAAGAAATATAAATGTTTAAAGAATAAAGATTAAATTTATAATAATAAATTTACTTTGTTACACTTTGTATTGTTTTTTTGTTGTTGTTGATGTTATTACTTATATTTACATCATAAACATTTTATAAGAAGTTACATGCTAAAATATGATTGGACGAATACGAAATAATACTTGTCAAGTTCGAGCAGTGTTGGAACAAACTATCTGATACAACCTTGGTTAACATGTTTGTAGGATTCTCATTAGTGTGTACATTCGTAAGAGAAATATGACACTCCTCTACGAAAACCAATACAAAATGATATCTTACATCACTATTCTTGGTGCGAGTATGATGAACTAAATTCTTATCCAAATAAATCACACTTTGGCTATCACAACTCAGATCCACATATTCGTGCTTAATCCCTAAATTTTCTAGAAGACCCCATAACATAATGCTTCTTTCACTTCTCCTGTTATGGGCATGTACTTGACCTCTATAGTAGATAATGTCAATGTAGCTTGTAACATCAATCTCCAACTAACTTGAACACCATGCATTTTAAATACATAATCACTAGTAGATCGTCGTCTATCTAGATCTCCATCATAATAAAAATCAACAAAGTCGTTTAATCTTTATTCTTTAAACATTTATATCTCTTCATACAATCTATTGTTTATGCTATATTATTTTCTTGTTCAACTTTAATGAGAGTTGTGTTTCATATTATTATTAGAAGCAAAAGTTCTGTCGAGCTCCAACAATGAGCATCAGAGCAAACATCAAAATTTAGAGTGGTAATTTTTTGTTGTTGAAGAAAATGACTTATACTAATGAAATCGCCAAGGTTGGAAAATGTGAAATAGCCAAGTTTAATGAATTATTTTTTTCTATTGGAGGATGCAAATGAAAAAATTTCTTATTTCACAAAAGTTGCATAAAGCATTTATATGAAAAGAATAAAAATCTAGGGATATGAAGGATGGTGATTGAGAAGAGTTAGATCTTGAAGCACAAACAATCATAATCTTATGCCTTGATAGGAATGTTGCATTCTCTGTTAATGAAAAAGCAACGACTATTGGCATGTGGACAAAGTTAGAGAATAATTTTATGACGAAAAACTATAACAAATCAAATCTACTTGAAATCCAAATTGTATACATGGAAGATGGAGGAAGACACTTCAATATGAGATTATGTCAACAAGTTTGATAGGATTATATCATACTTGGAGGATATACAAGTTAAGATTGATGAAAAAGACCAAACACTCATGTTCTTGCTTTCATTGCCAGAGCCCTATGAAAATCTAGTTGAAACATTGATGTTTGTGGGTGATACTCTAACCATGGATGAGACTAGAACATCACTTTTAAAAGATGATCTTCAAAAGGTTACTACAAGTGGGATGTCTAGAACTAGAAGATAATACA